ATGTATCACACAATAGCATTTTCTTTAATAAATCAAAATGTTTTCTCATTTACCTCAAACCATTTGTATGCTACAGGCAAGAAGCTGCTGTATGTTTAATATGAATAACAGAGCTATTACATCAAGTCCATTCCCACTGTGCTTCCTCTGACATCAGTGACTTCAGTGGATTTATTCCAGGGATGAATTTGGCTATTCCTGTTTTTCGTAGGTAAATCTTCAGGCAGTGCTAATTAAAAGAATGTCAACTGATTTTACCATTCCATTATGCTGGACTTTGTAAAGGTTATTTATATCATTCTGCATCAGGCCCCAGTGAGAGAATATTTCTGCTGGCAGTTCATCTATTAAAATAGCTGCAAGAAAATGTAAGCACTGGAACTAAAAATAAAACTTTGTTTCTCAACAGAGCAAGTGACAGCCACATGCATATTTTCAAATTTTAGCATTTTAATATTTGCTGAACAGAAATTGCATTGCTTTCATTATGTTTTAAGCATGACCATGTTACTGATGGAGTAACTGCTGTTAAGTGGAAGCCAGATGTAAATGTACCAGTATCTGCAAAAACTTCTCAGCAGAGGTGGTGGTTGTTTCCAATGCTTTGATTATCTGCTGGCTTTAAAACAAGTGACACAGAAAAAGTTTTCTGGTGTGTGTTTACTGTTGAATATAGATTTTCTGCGTGAGCTGACTGTGACCCTTGCCTAAGATTATTAATAGATGACCTTACATTCACATGTTTGTGCTTACACTATATTTGCTCAAGCACATTCTATAAACCATTACAGTGAGCTTTTCTATTATAAAGCACATCTGACTAAGACCTCTGTTAAATTAAAACTTGACCATATCGTTTGAATGTTCAGTTCGCTTTCTTTTGTTCCAATTCAAGCATAAATTACAGTGGTTGTCCTCTCAGTTATGATGCTCCCTTTTCTAATTAGGCATTGTGAAATGCTGAAGATACATCTCAGTAACTGGCCATCCTGCAGCATTGCAATATATTCTTCAGAATAGACAATGTCTTTCAGAGCAACTTCTGTAAACATCTGGATATATCACAGGCTGTCAGCTCGCAGCCTCAGTGGCCATGTTAATTTTTTTTGACAGTGGAGACAAAAAAACCCTCTTAAGACAGCTGCATCATCCCTAACTGGTAAAAATTGTTTCTTTTCCAGTTTTATACTACAAATCAGTGCTTTTTGTACTAGTGTTATGTAGTCATATAACTTCTAAAAGCACGTAAAACGTGTTGAATAAGATCAATGCTATGTTGGTTTGCTAGTGCCAGAACTTTTAGACTTGCTGTTTGATGGGGCTTGTTTTTTGCATGGAAAAAAAGGGTTCACATAAAAGAGACTCTAATCTGCTTTTATCTGCTGCAGTTCTGATTTTATATTTTTTGTCTTACTCCTGAAGTCAGAACAGTTTTTAGAGTAGCTTCAGGATGAGTTTCAGCTATGCTGGCTGCCTACAGACCCTGCACAATTGAGTGCAAGGACGCACTGGGCACCTTTTCTTTCCTTCAGCCAGGTATCTGACAAGGGGACACGGAGCTGTTCCCTTCAGGAATGCCACCACGCATACCACAGTGCCACTGAGGGATTTTTCTATCCAAAAAGCATCCCTACCTAACCTTAGGGAACTGATGATCTAGTGCATCTGCCAACAGAAACTTTTCTGATAAAGAGAGAACTTGTATTGGACTTCTTAAATTATTTTCCGTCTCCAAACTCCACAACAGTTTCATGCTTGAGCCAGCAATATTCTATTATAGTTTATTCAAGTGGTTACAGAGAATATTATTGTCATGGATGTCTTTCTCAGGTACTTGGAACCACATCCTTTCAGTGTGCACTCACGATACAGTTGTTAATAAACACCTAAGCATCCAGTGGCACACTCGAGGACCTGCAGTGGCACTAATTTATTTGGCTTGCTTTTTGAGAGTGACAATGATTTTCTTAGGTTTCCAGCCTGTAATTCAAAGACACTCCTGTCTGCCCAGCTAATGAAGTGAGAACAACTCTATCCGTAATGCACTAGTTCTTTCCTAAGTAACATGCTATCAAGAGACACTGAGCCTTGGACATCTTTAAACATGACAGTCATTTATATTAGAAGCTTCAGATTAAACAGCATAAAGGAAATTAAATACAATGAAAATATACAAACTCACGGTACTCGGAAAGCAGCTAGTGGATGTGTTCATCTTGTTGGAGAGCTTTGGTATGGAGACAGATAGACTAAATAGAAATCTTACCAGCATCCCCTGATAGAAATCACAGACTGACAGTTCAGCCATCATTTTGTGGAAGATTCTCAGAGAAGTGTTTTCTTTACAGCTGAGAAGACAGAAACACATTATGCATGCTTAAAGTCAATGCAAGGAAACAGAGCCCCACAAAACATATTTAATATAGGTTTGATTTCCTGTGGAATGCTTTCCAGATGTTCTCTCAAACAGGCCTCTAAAAAAATGATGTGAGGTAATTTTTTGTAAACAGAAAGAGAAAATTCTGGTTTGTGTCACTGCATCTGAGAATCACTGTTCTATTCTTTATTGCATTACCTTGTGCTCAGGATTTGCACCATATTTTTCAAAATTGGTTTTATTACACAAAAGGTCAGTAGTATAAAAGTATTTATATTACCCAATTGCAAATAAATCATACTTGTTTAGAATCACATTTGAGCTTAGTAGTTTTCCTTAAACCCAAAGGAGACCTTAATATATTAAATTCAAATTACTCTCATGCATGATCTTGAGTCATTTAGAGGATTTAACTAACAGTGATAAACTATGAGATTAGTGTTTTGTTAAGTTCTTTTGATTTTCTGTAGCAGACTGTGTAAAAAGATCTAACAGGTCTCTAGCAGATGATGTGAGCAAGGGGAAAGGATAATATTGGCAGAAAATGGTATATAACTTTATTTTGCTTTGCATAAAATACAGTAATAGGACATGGGTGTGGGGTATGTTTATTTTAGAGCACTTGTTGCTCAGAAAAATTAGTTTTGTTAATAGAAGAATAGAAAGAATACAATGTACTGTTAATTTTAAAATACAGTTATGCATAGGTGGAAATATTTTTCATTTTGCATGACTTAATTTCTAATAGTTAGCTCTCCATTATCTGGAGTACTAGATGTCTGGAAGGCCCCTGGATTACACAGGTACTGGCAGACGTGGTGGGGAGCACGGTGCAGTCAGCCAGCTAGCCAGTTCGGGTCGAGTGTGGGTGCTCAGCTGGGGGAACCAGCTTTGGTGAACTGTCGTGTCTGTGCCTGATGCTCTGAGCAAGCATTTGTGATGCTACAGGGTATCTGAATGAATCTTGTGTGGCCTCTGGTGTTTGTTTCTGTATCCAGTTATTCCACAGTCCAAACAGGCTGCCTCTGTATAATTGGGGATTGTCTGTATTTTACTTCCAGACGAAACCCACAATTTTTAGAGATAAATCGAATCCAGAATCAAATATTTGCTTGGGCTTAGGCTGCCAGTCATTTAAAATAACAAAGCAGAAGCAAACCCAGATAAAAAACACCTTCTTTTGGTTAGTAGCTGGTATTTAGGGTCCAAGATCTTGTAATGGTTTCTGCCAGTATTGTAAAAGATTCGGATCAGCTCGTGTGAGAGCAACTGCTTTCCATATTCAGGTCTTGGGAGCCAAATGGTCTGCCATCAGATCTTTACTTTTTTACCCTTCCTTCCCACTTCCCCAAAGGTGCAAATGTGTGCCAGGGCGCAGCATGGGCTGAGGGCTCCGTGGGGTCTGTGGGGACCCCCTGGGACCCCCCTTGTCCCACCGCCCCTGGCAGGGAGGGGGGCAGCTGGGGGCAGCCCTGGGCATCGGGCACCTCCCTGGGGACGGGCTGGGACATCAGCCCATGGGTGGACCTGGCTCAGCGCGCCCATGGCTGGCAGGGCAGGGCAGGGCTGGGGGGGCTGGAGACCGAGGTCCTACAGCATCGCTGGGGCAGGGACTGAGGCCTGGCAGGGCCGGAACGGGGTCCTGGGCCATAGGATGGGGAGGGAAAGCCCTGGGGGGGGGCCGGGAGCCCTGGGGGTGGCCAGGGACATCAGTGCCCTCAGGGCCAAGACTCTGTCATTGTTGGAGAAGGAGAGTAGCAACCAAAGAAAAACTAACCTTTCTGCTGAAAAAAAATAATAGAGTTGCTGTTTAATAAATATATGTAAAAATGACTATTTAAAAAAACTGTCGAAATTTGTAGTTGCTCACAGGTGCTCAATAGCGTGTGTACATAACTAAGGAGGTATGAGATGTATTAGTATGACACAGCTCTAGTTTCTTTTAATGAAAAAAAAATGGGTCAAAACTATATTAGTAGGTGCTAGGAGGGTCATCTCTCTTGTGATGGAGCTGCTCTGAGGCTTTTTTTGGCTCACTGGTTGATAGAGTTTCTTATGTAGCCTTTGCCTCATTTTCTCACTGCCCACTCACTGTGTGTTTATGAAACAAAGAGAAAATGAAAAGCTCCTCCAACAATGAAGCCATTAGTTTGGCCACATATTAACTCCTCTTGCCACTGCTGCATCCCAGCAGAAATAGCACCACCCAAGCTATACGGGAGCTCTTTGTAGCTACGGAGGATACTGCATTTGACCCCCACAAAAGAAGAACAAATATTATGGCTCAGTTTTTTTCTATAATGGTGTCATTTGTCACTATGACACATACTCATTGACTTAGTCTGAATTTTTTCAGTGTTAAACCACAACACAGATTTATACTTCTTTGCTGTTTTGAATATTGATGCAGCATTTCCCTTACGTGACTATACTCTGTCTGCCAAATGGTGTCTAGACACTAGAGCAGCCTTGACTAATTAGTGTAGTCACCCCAGTCACTCAGCTTTGGCATTTACGTACTCTTTAGGTTACTGCTGTTGCGCCATAAATAGGTACCTAAACACAAATGGCAATGTAAAGGGAGGCGGCAGTGAGCATGTCCAGTCTTCACCTAACATGACCAGCAGGGTTAGCTCAGTTGGTTAGAGCATGGTGCTGATAACGCCAAGTTCACAGGTTCAATCCCTGATCACTGCAGGGGGGTTGGGCTCGATGATCTCTCAAGGTCCCTTCCAACCCAAAGCATTCTATGATTCTATGACCAAAGTGAGTGCAGAGGACAGCAGCTGTCGCTCCCGGCTAACGGGGCAAGCAGTTGTACCCACTCGGACATCACGGCGTATGTGCGTGCAGTCAGTGGGAGATCCGGATTCAATGTCGTTCTTGGTCTGAAGATCACCGCTGCAAAGGCAAGGCTAAGAGAGAAGATTTTTCTCTCTCTCTCGGCTCAGCCCCTGTGTACCAGCAATTGAGGATACAGCCAGCCAGAGAGAAAAAAAGCAGTAAGAGAAGTCGACACCTGCCAGCCCCGCAACAGCGGTGCTTCTTGGGTAGGACTCCTGGCTAGTTTGTAGAGCTGCTTTCCAGTAGTCCATGATTTACACCAGATCCAAACTAAAAATGCAGTTTTAGAAATTTTCTGCAACTTCATCGTTTATATCATGCTTTTAAATACTGCACCAGTACTGAAGCTGAGTTGAGCAACTTTGAAGAGGGAGAATTGATAAATATCAAAGATAATTTCAGAACATCAAAAAACTTCTACAAAACTTCAAGAATAAAAAATAGTGAAAACCTAATCAATGTTGCCTACGCAACAGGCTGTGCTAATATAAAATGAAATTGCCTCAAAAATTATATGCAGATTAAACACAATACTGCTATGAACAAAGCTTATTTGTAAGCAAAATTTGAAAGTTTTGATTTACCCTGCTGAGTATTTGAAGAACCACTATCCTAATGGAAACAATTTAACATTGTTTTCTTTGTATTTTTAACTGTTACAAATTATTTTACTGGTGCTAATACAAAGCATTAGAGAATAGCAGGTTTGGGATTTTTTTTCTCTTCTTCTCAGAAAGACTGTTTGTTGTTTGAGCAGATTTTCTTTGAATTTGCCAATAGGATTATTCTTATTTTTTCAGCTAGTGCTATACAAAATATTTAAAGTAAGCTTTCCAGAAGATGTGCAGTTTACTTTGAGGAGATTTTCCAGGGCTAAGATAGGACTCATTTAATTTGTGGGGGTTTTGCCCTACAAAGAGAGGCGGTTTCTTTTACTTCAAGGAAGATTTCTGTGTGGTTCTCTTCAGTTCCTTTTTTTTACACAAGGGAAGGGAAAAAAAATCATTAATGCTGTTGTGCACAAAGAGGATTTGTGGTTCTTCAACAGAAAGAGAAATGAATAGTCCCTTCTACATGTGGTCTTGCTGCATGTTCTGTACAACATAAAACTACCTGTCTCTCTCTATCCAGCTCTGTGTATACATTGCACGTGTAAAATGATGCACACTTAAAGGCATACGTGTTGCAAGCTCTGTTTGTCCTCTAGATTACCAAACTGCTCAGTCATAGGTTAGACACTTACCCAGAAGTTACTGCCTACGAGTTGCTTTCTGCTGAATGAACCTGAAGTTAACACAGCATGCATATTTTTTGTAGGACTGGTATCATCTGATTGCTCTTTTTCAGCATCCCTAAAATGATTGTCTCTTTTACCCAAACAGTTCTTAATATCATGTGCAGTACTTAAGGATAAATGATAATATGGTTCCTAATTAGGCTAGTTTGTCTCTCTCTAGACAAATAGCAGTACCACTGTTTTGGCATTGCTGATGAGCACACTTTCATCAGTGCCACTTGACTGGAAATATTTGGGGCTAGATCTTTGGTGAGCATTAAACAGCAGATCGTCATTGAAAATGATGGAGTTATTTTATGGCAGATGGAGGTCTGTCTCTGTTTTTATTTACTGGCCTTAACTTTATCTCCAGTGGAAATGAACCCACATAAATATCAGGTGTAGTTAACAGCTCAGGAGAGAGTGTGAACTTTGATATTATGAAATTTGCATGACTCACTAGGGAGGAGGTGTATGATGATGTCCAGTAATGCTTGGACCAGAGCTATCTGAACTATATTTTGCTTATGAAAACTTAAATGTGCAACATTGTCAGATCATTACCTTTTATGACCACAAAAACTCTTCAGAAATTAACATAGAAATCAAGCTGTATGCAAGAGGGATCAGCAGAGCAATTTTTAGCCTCCTTTAGGGTTTACAACAAATAAATTCTTTAAGCAGACTAGGTAGTAAATGACTGGTATTATTCCGTAGTTATTAGTCCTTAAAAACGTTTAGAGAAGAGGAATGTATTAAGTGATCTCTGGACCAATGCACCTAATAATCTAAGGGAGAACTGGACGTTTAAGAATGATGAAATGATGGCAAGAAATGTTTTCAAGACGCTGATCATATAACTACAGCTCCAAAAAGATTTATTTGTGATCACATAAATAATGAAATTTAAATCTGAGGAGCTGCTTTGTTTTAGAAACACAGAAATACTGCACATAGAACTGGCTTGTTCCTTCTACCATGGCAAACGTTTTTCACGCTAGATAGATGTAATAAGTTCTCTTCTGTCCTAAAACAGACTTCAGCCAGGTATTAGTAGAATTTGTAAAAACCTTAGAAACTGTCAACTGCCATTGCTCCCAATTGCTCAGAAGGCTGGATCCGAGCCACTATCTTAATTATTGACTGAGAGAGGAATCGCTGCAGTGACATAGGGTTTCCTTTTCCAGATTTTCTTCATGGTGCTGCTATTTATCTCTTCCCATACCTTGGAATCCATTTCTTCTCAGCCAGTCCCCTGGTAGGTACCATATATATTCACCAGCAAAGTAGAGATGTTATGGAAATTTAGAAATTTATGTACACATATAGGGTATCTTGAAGGATTGGTAGAGAGCTTGACTTTTTAAAGCTGTTAAAGGCAATTGGGTACAGATGTCCATCTCAAGGTTAAATGGTTAAATAAGGGAAGGGAGTGAGTGAAAAGCTTACCGTTGATTGTGGTTTAAAGGCAACCATGGATTTGCTGGTGTCCATACAGTTAGCGAGGGATGGAGCTAAAAAGAGGTCATGAGAATAGCTCAGATAAATTCAGATACAGTTTGCATACAGTCTATTTATAGGATGCTTTCTAAGCCTGTGAACCTTTTGAAGTTCGCCCATCACTACTTTCAGGCCAATTAATGATGCACATCCATTCCCATTCTGAGATAGGTAAAACGATAAAGCAAACAAAGATAATTAGTCTCTGGAGCATGTAAACAAATAAAGTTAATCACTTGCAAATCACCTGTTTCTGCTAACTTTTGTGTTTTCGTGGCAAATCTAAAAAAGAGCATTTATGTTGCAAATCTACATAATGCTAGTGCTGAAAATGCATAGATTATACTATTCTGATTTTGAGAGGGCTTTGCAAAGATTAAGCACCTGATCCTGAAACATCACGGTGAGTTGTTATATGCAAAAGAACATTTTCTTCCCTTTTTCACAGAAGAGAAGATGGAAGTAGGGAGGTTAAATAATTTTATTCACGGAGATAAAAGTCTAAATGACGCTTTATAAATAAACAAAAGTCACTGCTCCAATTTACAAGTCTAAGTGAAAGCACTAGTGGAGAGCAGGCCAAGATGGGCAGGAGAGCGGCTGTAGGATGCGGGACCTTGACCCACCTCAGTGATGCCTCTCAAATTTTACAGACCTGAATGGGAGCCTTATGTGGCCTTGAAAGCGCAAATAACCAGAGTTCCTGGCTGCTAGTCCTTTTTTTTTTTCTTTTCCAACATAGTAGTAATCTGTTAATTACCATACAGCTTCAATGCTAGTCTAAAAGCACTTCCTATAAGTAAGCGGCGCTCTCCCCCTCTTGGACATGGGGTAACTGAGGTAAGTGAAGATAATATGGCCATTCAGCAGCAGAACTCGATGCAGAGCACACATTCCCTTCTTCTCAGCCCTGGGCTCAATACTGTAGACTTCAGATAAATGCACATTTTACAAGAACAAATAGGTCCTCAGTACCATGGCTCCAGGGAGCGGTGGAGACCGTGCCATCTGGATCTGCCTGCTGCTCCGTTCAGCCAGCTGGTTCTGCAGGCCAGTCCAGAGCAGGGGTAAGCCCGTTCCCTGGAAACTCAGGGCAGGACCAAAGCAGGTCCTGCCTCAAGTCATGTAGTAAGAGGACTCTGTGAGCACAAACATACAGTTTTGTGTAATCAGTAAAACAGCAGAAACTGTGTCCTCAGTCTGTGGAATAACAGATTCCAGTTAGAGTTCAGATCCAGGCAAAATGACTGCTCATATGATAAAATCGTTCTTTGTCTTTTTTTGGCATGAAAATGCAGAGCATTTCTTTTAGTAAAGGGCAGATGTTTCCCTGTTGTTCTGTCCCTTTTTACTGTTTTCCTACACTTTTTTGTTCTGACTTCAGAAATGGATTCTGGAAAGAGATGCGTCTTAGAAAGAGACTCTCATCAGCTGAAATGTGTGCAATGTATATTCAAGTTAAAGAATATTAAGCCTTGTCCAAAAATAAAAAGAGTGTAAAAGGTAAGAATGCCTGCAGGCTTGATTTTTAAAGACGTGCATTTTGCTTCATGTTGCAGATCTCGCCTTGCAGATTTCTTCACAAACTGCCAGCCTGAGTCACGGTCTGTTAGTAGCTGTCTGAAGGAGAACTATGCTGACTGCCTCCTAGCTTACTCGGGGCTTATTGGTAAGAAGGCAGGGAAGGGTGGGGGCTTGCTCGGTCTAAGAAAAACACCCAAACTATATTTTGAAGGCCCACATGAAATAAAAACTGTGAAATGTAATACTGTACAACATGGTACTAGGCAAAATTCTTCACCTAAGTGTATTGGTCCTGTTTTACTTTACAGAGATTCCTGGGGTAAATTTGTACATTTCAAGGAAATTAAGGGTAGAAGATAAGGAGAGAAAGGTGCTTGAATTTGAAATAAACTCAAGCTTACGAAGTAAAGCTTATTAAAGTGGTTGAATTTGGATAGGACCATGAAGTAGGAAGTTAAAAAGAACAAGTGAAACTGCAGCTGTCATTACAAGGTTGGGTAAATGCCCCTTGGTCTTCAGGGACAGTTTGCAGGGCATTTGAGGAATGAGATGATAGACCAACCCAGCCTTGTTTCTCTTCCAGCTGCTATTCTTTCCATGATGTCCTTCTGTCCACTCGAAATGTTTTCCGAGATGCCTGTCAGTGGAGGTGAACTGAGACCAAATTTATCTTCTGAAAACCTCTTCCCTCCCCAACATAATTAATTTTGTTTGCTGCCACCTTCCTGACTGTCAACAGGCAGAAGGATGCCTTTATGCAAGCCAGATTCCATATGCCACACGCGGTATTTGATTCCTGAAAAAAGAGGGATCACCTCAGAAAGGTGAACTTATTGTAGAAATACCATGGTTGGGCACTAAAGAATAAGTGAATGTCAAAACTCTGAAACAAACAAATTTTAAAGGCCACCAGATAAGATGTTTTTAAGCTTACAGCCTGCACCTGCTGCGATGCAGTAATATCCCCTTCTGTTGGGCATGAAGGTCCCAGCTGAGGCCCTGGAGCAGATCCTGCTGTTAAATAAATGTCTCTGGAGATAATACCCAAAATAAAATATTTCTAAAATAGGTTGGTTTTGCTGAAAAATGACTGAAAGCTATATTCATTGGCTTACTGTTATCATTCTTATTACTCTAGCAGCTAACAAGTGAGGTAAGTCCATGTGGCAACTGGTAAAATAAGATCTGATGGTTTCAAAGGATATGCTTCTACGACTTAAGAGATGAAGACAGTATGCAAAGGGCATAACACATGAACAGTTATGACATAATGTCATTTGACTCTAAAACAAAGAATTGAATAGCCTTAAAATCTGATCTAGTCAATGAGATTAAGAAGTCTAGCTGCTGGCAAAGAATAACTGTTACTAATAGATACTTCTGGGTGAGAGCTGCCAAGAAGTTCTTGCTGGACCTAGTGAATTTTGCTGGCAGTTTTGTTGGATCCATTTTTCAATTTAACCCCAAGGATCACTCAGGTCCCAAAGTCATGTGGTTTTGTGTTACTGTGGATGCCCATGCTGCAAAATGCTGTCACACATCAGAAATGTGGAATGGATCCCTAAGGAGTTGAAATCAAAAGGAGATCTAATTTTCAAAGGGGAAAAATATACCTTTTTTTTCCTTCCTGCTAGCCCCTAGACACATGCAAAAAGATGGCTACTGACTAGTGTTACTAGAGTTTTTACTTCTTGGTAGCAATTCTGATACACCAAGAAAATTACCAAAACAAAACTTCTATGTGCTGAAGCAGTAAATTCCTGCTTCTGATACCAAGCTGATATAAAAGCAGGGTAAATTATGTGCAGTTTGATAAATTTGTAAGATGCTGAGATAGAAATCAGAGGTACATCTTTCAAATGTCTGCTTAATATATATAAAACACAGGAAGAAGAGATAGATAGACTGTGGGTAAGATGCTGTTACAGATTCATTCATTCATCAGAGCTTCAGGATCTCCAGTGTTTTAATTAAGATAAAATATTGTTCATTAAGGTAAAATATTATTTCATTTAGCCATTTCATTAAATGCAGCAAAAATTTTGCGTCCATAGGGTTTGTTCAGGAAATTAAGGGTTCTCTGTGGAAGGTACAGTGGATGTGATTCTGCTGTCACATACAGTGATGTAAATCACAGTTAACTTCACTGAAATTAGTGGAATCCCCCCTGAAATAAATTACTTAAGTGGGAATAGATTCAGATAGTTTTTGTATCAGGTACTTTACCAGTTAAATGGAGAACAGTCTATATAGGATGCTTTAAGGTTTGCATCAGGGTGTTATATATTTAATTTTAAAGTTATGTCTATTTTACAGGAATTTTAAAAATCTTAATTCATTTTGCTTTAGTCTCGTTGTTATAGTAATAGGGATAAATTAATATTTAAAAAAGAAAAAAAAAGGAAAAATGTAAAAATTATTAAATGTAGAACAAGATTGGAGATAGCCATGCTTGAGATTCAATGCTTTGGTTACAGCCTAGTTAAGGCATCTGGACGTGTCTACACTCCCACATCAGTTGGGTATTGCTCTAACTGCTGACTTCAAGATCTGCTTTAGCATTCACTTTCTGACACATTTTTACTTATTTTCTATACAATCCATCTAATTTCCCAGCGATTCCCAGGAATTCCATGAGAGTTGATGTGAATAAACTGGAGTTGCATGAGGCCAAAGGAACTTCAGTCACATGCCCTTCCTCCTGGACTCACCAGCCATCTCCTCATTATTAATTGGCCCTAATTTGAGCAGCCTCTTGGCTGTGTTGGTCAATTCTGCCTTTGTCTAAAATACGGAGACCTGGCTGCCTACTACTGAGACCATCACAGAACTATCTGATAGAGAGAACACAGAAAACCAAGCTCGTCCTATTTTACTGCCAACCACCATGGTTTCTCTGATCCGTTAGTGTCCTTCAGCAGAATTTCCAAGATGCCAGCCAGCTGTGGGGGGGAAGGAGGGGAAGGCACACACATTGCAGGGAAAAAAGAAAATCCACCCCAGGAAACTAAGCATATAATCCACTTGGGTTCACATCTGCCCCCAGGTTTAAATGACAGGCTGATTTTCTACTAGCTGCTCTTTCAGCCACTCTGTTTTTGCTGGATGTACAGTTTGTGTGCTGTGTATACACACTGCTTGTCCTGTCTTTCCTGTATTCATCAACCCTTAATCGTAGCTTGGTATCTGTTACATGTTTAGCCCCTGTCTTGACCCATTTTAATTACCTTATTACCTCTTCATGATAAGAAAGTCTTACCTCAGTGACCTTTTTAATTTCCTCAATACCTTTCTGGTTTTTTAACCCTTCACTAAGCATTTGCTACTTAGCCTTTTTTTTTTTTTTGAAGCCTACTGTTTTCTTTCCATTTGCAAAATCCTCTCGATTTTCGTTTTCTCTCACTTCTTTTCAGATCATGTCACATGGTTGAAATAGTGTACTGAACCATCAAATGGATAATGGACAGATATTTTAATTTGTTTTATTTTAATTTAACATCATTCCTCTTATTTACTGTCAAGTTCTCAGTAATGGTGCAAATTATATTTGTCTATTTTACAAAATCCTCTACCTCCGTTTAATAAATTTTGAACTGTGCTATTTACTCATGTGCTAATCTCATGTAGAATTTGAGCAATTATTACTGCAACTATCTGTTAAAATTTGGAAGTAGATAAAGGTATGGGATTGCATTCTAATTTAAGAACATCCCAAAACAAGACAAAAGATGCTTTTTGTGAGTTTGGCAGTGGGACTGCATTCATTTTCACATACATTGCTGCTTTTCTCAGGACAGCCCTTAATGTCTCTTCTTTGTCTCCCACATCATGTATGAAGCAGTTTGCCTGTGATTTGTTCAGCTCCCAGCGCTGCCTGGTGACTGAAAGGCTATTTGACGTCATTCTGTGATTTGTGTTATTTCTAATGTTCCTTTTTTTAGCTTGGTGTTTGAGAGCCCTTTCCTGTGTGGTATTGCAGACTCTGGGACCCTGGACTTATGGACCAAATTTTCTCTGCTAGTGTACACTTTGGGTCTCTAATATTTATTCTTCATCTGTGCTTCTTAATGACTACTTTGATGTCAGTTTTGAGGAGACGTGATCACATTTCCTCGTGATATGTAGCCTGTACTAGAAATGTAGATTACCAAGTGAGGAATGTGTTTCATGAAACAGCTGTCATCAGTACAAGTCTGGAATACCTGCCCTTTTTCATTTAATTTTCCCTGTTTGGTCAGACAAATAAATGTTAAAACTTCGCAATCCTTAGGGAAGTTTGAAATCTCTGACCTGCTGGGGTGATGCCTTCAGTGAAACTACTGGTTTGAATAAGTGCTGATCGTGTAACAGTTGCCTGATCCAGATGAGCGATGAACAGTTGCTGTATATCTTTTAGGACACAAAATACATTCTTTGGTTTCATTTCATTCTTGGTAGCCTTGAGTTGACATATAAATGTGAGAATATTTACCCAAGAATTTGTAATAGAGTTAGAATGAATCTGTGGTTGCAAGTTGTTGACAATGTTTAGGAAACAATCGCTGTATTGAAAAAGTAGTGACACAGCAAGATTAATAGTAATTTATTACGTGCAAAAAACCTGCTGTACTGTTTTCTGCATGCTGGTTATGTTTTTCCTTTGTTCATCGTCATAACCCACTCTGTTGGCAGGCCCCTGATGAGCACCTTGGGGTTAACGCTCCTCCAAGATGTATTAGGGCTCCTCTCAGCATGACTAGCATTCTCCTTGCTCATGCATTTCAGAACTGTGTTTCTAGGCTGGCTGCAGACTCAAGGAGGAAACTCTGGTCTGGATGTCTAGTTTCAGCCATTTATTTGCAGCTAGAGTGAAAATGAGAAAAAACACAAGTGAGGAAGAAAAATTGGATTTTTAGAGGGCAACTCTAAGGGCGCGGGTCCACATATCTTTGATTTGGCAGCAAAGCACTTTTAAGAGGTTCCCACTTTCTCCCAATCCATCCCTCCCCTGTGTCACGGTTTTCCACCTGTCAATTCTGCTGATACAGCTCTCTGTGGGAATGCAATATAAGGAACGGGTCTTTAATGTGTGAGTCATGTTACAGTCCCTAAAGTGGTTGCATTCAAACAACCGATGGTGTGAAGTATGGCACAAAGCTGGGTGTCAAAGGGCAAAGGGAGCCAGGAACTGTTAAGTCTGGAAGTTAGAGCTCTGCCATGAGTCTGCATTGTGAATCCATCTCTGAATATATGACTTACCAAGTCCTGTTTGCTATCTTCTTAGTGTGGAAAGATTAATTCAGTACAAAGGTTACTGACAGTACTGTACTTCACTCTGTTGATAGGCACAGTGATGACACCGAACTACATAGACTCAAATAGTCTCAGCGTTGCCCCGTGGTGTGACTGCAGCAACAGCGGTAATGACATAGATGAATGCCTGAAATTTCTCAATTTCTTCCAGGACAATACATGCCTTAGTGAGTACAAAGTTAGATGTCTTAAAATGTGTTTTAGCATGTTGTCTGGAATTTCTTTACTTTTTAAGTATGTTATGATACACTAAGTCCACTTCTTTGTGTTTTGTAAGCATGGTTCTGCTGTAAGAATTAAACAGACAAGCAAATATGCCTGATACTATGGTTTATGGCCAAGATTGCAAACATAAGAAGTTCTTGGGGAAAAAAAAATCAAATGAGAAAATTGTATCATATAGAAATATGTTTACAACACAGATCATGTTCGGACCCTAACCGTGAGGCAGCATCTGTACCAAAAAATTGCAACACCTGAGGGGCTTCTGTGTAATTTAAGAACTTCATATAAAAAAAGACATGTAGTTTATGATATGAAGGATTTGCTGTAGGTAAGTATAAATTGGATTGTGCTTGCAATTTATAGCCAAGTTTCAGGTTTTTTAGGCTACTTGATCTTAGATGCCTGGTTTTAACAGAGGTCTGGATGGTACCTATTTTCATGATTTTGTTAAATAATTGATTTTTTTTTTTTTTCCAGTCACACTCACTTCCAAATTAGGGACTATTATTTCAGAATGGCTTAGTGGAGTCGATTTTGGCAGGTTCTCTTTTCAAATTTCCTGTCTGCCTGGAGCAGCATAATTGGATGATGTGGAGTGTGCATCAGAGTTTTAATTTCAGATAAATGAGGAGACCAAAAGAGCTTGGCTTTCCTAGCCTAGCAGAACAGAAGTTGAAAGGATACATGATTGTCCTCTGAAATTGCATTAAAGGGGCAAGCCCAGGGAGGGAAAAGGATTACTTAACCTACAGGACAATGTTGGCACAAGATCAAAAGGGGAGATATTGGCCATACATATTTAGGCTTGAAATTGGAAAATTTTTAACCATCAGACTAAAGTTAAGAAAAATGCTTCCAGCAGGAGTTTTGAGGGTAAAAAGTTCTTACTGGTTTTAAAAGTCATATTTTATCAGCTTATGAAAAGAAGCATACATCATTGCTTTTTTTCAAAAATTGCAAATGAACTCGATGATCCAGACTGTCCCATCCAGCCCTATAGACTTGACCTAATGCTAATGCTGGGTTCAGTCTGTATTTTACTATAGGGTCTGAAAATCTCCATTGATAGCTTCTCAACAGGCAGCATTGTTGTGAAGACATGGGGAGCTTTGCGTATAAAATATGAGTGACTTGAATTGCTCTATCATACACTATTTGTTAAGCTTTGGAAGAATGAATCAATTACTCAAGTTCATTTAACAAAAAAAAAAAAAAAAACCAACCCAAAAACACCCAGAAAACAATTCAGACTTTGATTGGGTAAAAATTCACAATATAGCATCAGACCTTCTTCAAACCTAATGGGGCTGCCATTTATATATACTGTAATACATCAGTTTTTATTAATTTGTGAATGTATTAATTGCTAGAATGTTACAGGTTCCTTTTAGAACATAAAGACAGAGAGCGATCCCTTGTCCTTTCTTTGCTATTGCTATAAAAACATTAATGAAGACAAATCAAAGACATTAGAGGTTACTGTGAGACAAATTATAGTCATCCAAGCTGTAAGAGATGTCTTCTTCATGAAGAAATTAAAGATGTTTCTGGTTTAATACAAAATTTTTTCTCTTACAGAGAATGGGAAAAGTTCCAATTTTTTTGGTAATAGTTATTGTCATTAATGGGCCTTCCAGTGCCTGGATAAAATGTCATGTGTTCATTGGATGAGATTAAAATCCCTCCCAATTTTTTTAGACAAAACAAAAATCACTTTTCCACAATGGGATGAAACTAGGAATGTCTTGCTAGTCTGTTTTGCTAAAGTATACTTCCCCTTCAAACAGGAAAATAAACCAGTGATTTGGGGCATTTACAGAAGATGTGGAAAACCTAGCTTAAATGTTTATTGAAAAACCCATGTGGTTATTTAGGCAAAGTGGAATAGCTGAGACTGTACCCTGAGGGCTAGAGGGACTCTGAAAGCTGGAGACCAAGGTTCACATTCATACTGTGCCTGATGGGGAGCTGGGATACGAAGCTGAGTTTACCATGTCCCACATACACACCTGAAATCCTGGTCTTTCTTGCACCTCTGTGTGCACTTGCCTAGAAATTCCACTCTAAAGTTGAAAAGCCTTTTGCAACAGATGTTAAGTGGAAACTGGATTGGAAGTTTCGATTTCAAAAGGTGGGTTTGAAAATACTGGTGAAAATTCTGGTCTGTTTTAAGAATTAGTCCAAATAAAGACAAGCATTGCATTGTTTTCTTTTTACATATATTAGACAAAGTGTTTCTTTATCTCAGCATTGTCCTGCAGAATATGGCTTTATATCAGAACTGTGAAATTGGCCCAATGTCAAGAAAGCTAAAAATCCAAATTAATAGGCCCCAAATAAAATATATTCCACCCTAAAATTTGAGACTATGTATTACCTTGCTTATACTTTTATCCTCTTTATTAGAAGATGCAAGTTTATTGGTAGTACTACAGTGGTCCTAATTGCTGCCTCTCCAGTTAGGGTTTGGCCAGTCTTAAATTCTGGAAATCCATCTTAAGACTTTATTTTAGCTACTCTGAAAATGAATCTCCTGACATTCATTTACATACTATAGAATTCCTACTGAACTGAATGGGATTCAGTGCATCTAACTATCTGTTCAAAGGATTTGTTCACACCTGCTTTATACTGTAGTAAAAAGAATTAGCAAGTGGGAGGGAAAGCATAAAGCAGTGAGTTAGTTAATAAAAATTATTGAAAGGACCTTTACTAGAGCAGTTAGGCACTTGAAGCACCTCCTTACAGTCATTATGTTTTTTGAAATATATTTGAAATATGTATGAAAATTATATAGATAAAATACGCATTTAAAGTATAATTTATATGTTTGATATATTACAAAAATATGAGTAGGGATGGAACACCGCTCCTATGAAGAAAGTCTGAGAGAGTTGGGGTTGTTCAGCCTGGAGAAGAGAAGGCTGCGGGGAGACCTTTTTGCAGCCTTTCAGTACTTAAAAGGGGCTTATAAGAAAGATGGGACAGACTTTTTAGCAGGGCCTGTTGCAGTAGGACAAGGGGTAGTGGTTTTAAACTAAAAGAGGGTAGATTTAGACTAGATAGAAGGAAGAAATTTTTTACGATGAGGGCAGTGAAACACTGGCACAGGTTGCCCAGAGAGGTGGCAGATGCCCCATACCCGGAAACATCCCAGGCCAGGTTGGACGGGGCTCTGAGCACCCTGATCTGGTTAAAGCTGTCCCTGCTCGCGGCAGGGGGGTTGGGCTGGATGACCTTTAAAAGGTCCCTTCCAACCCAAAGCATTCTACAATATTATGAGTCTGTAATAGAATCATAGCATATCTCAAGTTGGAAGGGACCCGTAATGATCATTGAGTATGATTCTATGAAATAATTAAAGACAACTAATTTTAAAGACCACTTTTACTTAGAAAAATTGAAAGATTGCATGTATTTCTGTCATCCTTCTTGCAATAATGGAAACAAAGAGTTACTGTTAATTTAGAAAATCATTGCTTTATATATTGCCTTATTCAGGTAAAACCAAGAAAAATACTCTGCTCTTCCTACTTTGTCTCCATCAACCCAGCGGATTGTGGTGCCTTTTACAAATTCTTCTCTTTGCATGTTGGAGTTCTAAGAACTAATACCAGAATAAAATACATCTTTTTCAGATGAGAATTAAATGTAAATTATTTTATAAGGCAAGGAATACCACTGAGAAGAAGTATTAATAACTTCCACATATTAGTCCCCAGTGAAATTTTTTGATTTCTTGTACAAAGAATTTGAAATGAGAAATCCCTAAATCCGTGCTGAATCCCCAAAGACCTGATTAGAAACTGTTTTTCTATTTGTTTATAAAAAACCCCAACCAATTTACTTTTGCGAAAAACACACTCTTTAATCCCATGAAACTATGATAAGCTTTTTAACTTTTATATTCTAAAGTTTTAGTTTAAGCTTGCTTCCCTCGCCTAATTATGCAGATTTTGATTGAAAACTATAAGGAAAAGTTTGTCTTAGTTAAACCATTTTGTAGTTATAGGCATATTAGTTTTACTACAACAAGCTATAGAAATAAATTAATATTTTGCCTGCTCCCTGTTTTTAGTTTGCTATGTAACATCACCTGCCTGAGTTAGGAGATAACTTGCAAATTGTATTTTAAATTTTGAAAGTAAATTTTTGAGACTTTTGGATGGTTACAAATATGATTACTGTAAGTCCTAGAGCTTTTGTCAAGAAAAACTGGGAACATTACAAGGAAGAGGCTGCACCAGATAATTATATGACCCCAGACTCTCGGTTCATGTTTCTGATACGTTGAAAATTAAGACACATTTTCCAGCATAAAAATTGAGTTTCTATAAATGCATGTTTTCAATGTAATAATAATAATTATTAAAAAGTCAGTTCTGCTTTCTGCCATTTGTTTAGAAATAGAAAATTGCCTGCAATTTATTTTTACAGAAAATGCAATTCAGGCCTTTGGCAACGGTACTGATGTGAATGTGTGGCAGCCAATCTTACCAGTACAGACCACTACAGCCACAACTACAACAGCTTCCAGACCTAAAAACACAGGTTCAGAGACCACCAACAATGAAATACCCACCCACAACGATTCACCAGCATGTGCAAACCTGCAGGTAAGAGAGTCTTGTACTTGTTGCAGTGCAGAAATCAAAGTTTTTCATAGATATGTGTGCAGAGTAGTCTCCTGCTGCATAAATGGGTGCCTGCTTAAATTGGAGTATCTGTTTATTCCCATGCTGTAGTTACAAGCTGGCTATATTGTAAAATATCAGACAGTCTTTTTTTAAATCAGAAAAATGCATATTTCAAAGTGGACTTTATTGCCTCTCTGACTCAGAAACAGGGCATAGTATTTAATTTATCACAGGTTTGGATATGAATGTGGCACTCTCCAAACCCTGCCAGGATACGTCAGATTAAATTAATCTTCTGAGTAATCCAAACTCAGAGGGAACTCTTAATGTCAGCTAGGATGTCCTGCTACCTTCTTTCTTATGTTATTGGCATTAAACTTAAGAGGTTTTTTGGCTGAGTAGGTCTGGGTATTAGGGAATATGTCGTGCTACAAACTTCGTGGTGAAGAAGCTGGACAAAGAAGCTATTTTGAATCAGGCACTTTCCTGAACTGTGGTGAAGGTCGTGGTGTGATTTTGGCCAACGGCTGCAGCGATTTTCTTTGGCACTTCAATTAGGCTATTCATGGTGAGTCATTGATTCTGGGTTTGAAGAGGCTCATCACTTGCTGAAGGCAGTATATGCAGCTCTTAGAAAGTTTGAAGAACTTGGGCAGGAGACAACTGCAAAATCAAGGCAGGAAAGAGGTAACAGGAAATGTAAGATGAAAACATCCTTAGGCCAGATTAGAATCTTAGGTTATAAAAATTTCTGGTGGTTTAAATGCAAAATTAGGTCAGGGATAGATCGGCTTGGCCTGTTTATTTTTGTCTTTACAGAAGGAAAATTGCTATGTAACACAAATGAAAGTGTCCAGGTTGTGTCATCTGGTATTAAGATACTTTTTCTCTGGATTCCCAAACTCTTCCACACTGGTAGCATTCACATTTCACTTACTTAGAAAAACTTGATTTTGTATTCTTCGTACTAAACTGTATCAGAGTTTCCATGTGCACTAAGATGAACAGTCCGTATCCCTCAGAAATATATTTTGTTTCTTAATTTTTCCTGCCCCAGTCTCTCACCTTTGTCCTTTTCTAGTTTCTCCATCTACTTTGAATTGGCAAATTACATATGAATTAACATTTTTCAGAGGCATTACGGAGTCACAAAGCATATAGGATTAGTAGTAGATGGTGTTGAGTTTAGGTCCTTCTGTTTTAATTCTGTTTTTCATATCTGTGCATATATTATATGTTAAGTTTTGTAAGTTATTGATGAGAGGGAGATAGTTACAAGCGTATATTTCTATATGCAGTAGTCATTTGACCAAATAGAATATGCTAAAAAGAAACGTAACCTTTTGAACCTGGAACTTGGAATATCTTGCATTTAAAGCAAAACCTTGATGGGTTATTGTTAATTCACTTCATGTTATATTAAAAAGTTGTTTTATGGGAGAGGTCACATTTTCCTTCAGTGTTTGTACAGTCCCCTGTAGAGTAAGGCCTCCAGATGCTACCAAAGTACACATGATAAATAATGAACTGAAGAAATGGCAAGCAATCACTAATCCCATTGGATTCAGTTTGATTTGCAAATGTTCCTCAAGCCTGAATATCCAGTGTTTTGAAAATAAATGAAATACTTCCCTGTCCTTACTCCTGTTACTCTGGCATTTTGAAGTCACATCCCACATGAGTTTGTCAGCAGTGCTTTAAAGCTGTGTTACGACTTCAAGTGCACCCCTGATATGCTTG